GGCCTCTAGAACTGTGAGAAAACAAATCTCTGTTCTTTAAGCCACTCAGTCCTTAGAACACTGTTAGAGTTTCCCTAGAAGACTAATACAGACTTCTTAGCCCCAGTTTTCTTTGTCTTTTTCTTCTCTTCCTTTGAACACTTTGAATATGGTATCTTACTGCTTTCTTCATCCATTATTTATGATAAGCGAAAAACAGTGTTTTTGAAGCTTCCGTCTAAGACATGATGACTTACTCTTTTTTTTGTTGTTGCTTTTAAGATATTCTCTGTCATTGGTTTTCATTATTTTTATTAATGATACTAGTTTTCGATCTTTTTGTGTTTCTCCTACTTCGAGTTTTTCAAACTTCTTCAAAGTATAAAGTTTTTCTTCAAATCTGGGAAGTTTTTAGCCATAATTTTTTGAGTGTTTCATCAGCTCCTTTCTGTGTGCCCTTTACTGGCACTCACATTCATTGTTTCTATGTCAGTGTGATTCACAGGGCCCAACTTTTTGCTGAGATTGTTTATTTTACTCCTTTTTAATCTCTGTTCAGATTTCATAATCTGTGTCAATCCATCTTTAAGTTTGGTAATGTTTAAACTTTAGTTTAAATCTACTGTTGACTTCCTCAGTGAATTTTAATTTCAGATATGGGAGACTTTCCATTTGGAGATATATATATATATATGATATATATATATATATATGAGAGGCAAGAATGGAGCTTACAGAATCCTGAACACACACACACACACACACACACACACACAGACATATCTGTTTCTCTTTATTGGTGTTTTCTATTTTTTAATGTTTATTTATTTTTTAGAGAGAGAGAGCAAGTTGGGGAGGGGCAGAGAGAGAGAGGAGGACGGAGAATCTGAAGCATGTTCTGCATTGACAGCAGACAGCTTGATGCCAAGCTTGAACCCACAAACTGTGATATCATGAGCTGAGCCAAAGTCAGATGTTCAACCAACTGAGCCACCCGGGTGCCCTAATGTTCTCTATTTGATGAGCTATTATCATCATACTTCCTTTTCCTTTTTAAAGTATGGTTTCTTTTACTTCTTTGAACATGTTCCTAATGGCTACTCTGAAGTGTTTGTCTGTTACATCCCCCATCTATCAGTTCTCATGGGCAATTTCTGTTGCATGCTTACCCCTCAGGTATGTGTTTCACTTCCCATCTTCTCTGTATGTCTCATAATATTTTGTAAGGGATTGGACTTTTTAGACAATATATTGCACCAATTCTGGGTACGTTCTCCACTCCCCCACTCCAAAACTGGTTATTGTTAATTGTTTGCTGGCTCAATCAATTGATCACATGCTTTCATAAAGTCTGATTCTTCCCTGCTGTGTGAAAGGGGTGCATACAGCTACTTGGAGGGTGCAGCCTTGGGCTTGCATAAGTTAACTTGAGATGACACTGATATTTGTAGGAGTTTCTTTGCTTCTCTATTTTCCTGATAAGCTCCATTCATTTGGCAAGATTATTGCTCTTTTGTTTCCAGGAATGCCCTAATGTATTTTGTTCCATGGAATGAACCAACTAAATTAGAGCTCAGTTTTTGAAGCTACTGTTTAAGATTTGTTCTGGCCTCAGGACAGTTCTTCTCCTTCAGCTTTCCTTTCTCTGATTCTCTGTGCTAACCTAGATAGTTTTTGGTTTACCTTATGTCTCTAATGTACCTACTGATTTCTTCCTAAATTGCCTTTCACTACAACCTCTCACGTTTCTGATGTCATCTTAGGCTTGATTTTGCAAAAACCCTTGCAAATGAAATCAGTTCTTTTGGAGAAATCTTTGGCCTACCTCCCCCCCCCCCCCAACCCGGGCACAATCTTGGAGCCATGGCTCTAGAACTGATAATAAGTATAGTGGCAAGCTTCTCTCTGATGAAACCCATGCTGCATGAGCTAGGTACTCAGGAGTCTGTGTGTTCAAGATTCTGTAAGCTCCATTCTTGCCTCTCCCAGAGCCTCTCCTTTACAAATAAACTTGTGCTACATTCAAAGTGGAGCCTGCGTCCAATTAGTGGGAGGTGGGCAGAAAGGGAGCCTTTACCTCTCAACTCCACTCACCTGGAATTTAGCCTCTGCAAGAAATTACTAGGGCAGAATGAGAATTGCTGTTGTCCTGTGCCTCCAGGGAAGATATTGCAGCCTTCTGCCCTACAGATCAGGGGAGAAGGTCTGTGTTCTAGACTATATCCATTTTCAGTGGAGTTTCTGTCATATGGGCTGGAAGGGAGGGGGGAGAGAGGGAGTGAAGCTTGATTTATATGGCATAGACTCTCCCTCTTCCTAGTGGGTTTTAGGAAATTTTCTTGAATAAATGTTTCTTCATTTGCTGCATGATCATAGGACCATTAGTAGAGAGCATAAGTGGTTGTTTTCTAAAATAGTTTCCAATAGTCTTACTGGGATCATACCTCCAGAATATCTCATGTTGTCATACAGGAAGTCTAGATCCTGAATTTTGGATTTTTTCTTTTTTTTCCTTTTTTTTTTTTTTTTACACTGATCTATATGATCCAATTGTTTTTCTTTTTTAGTTTTTTTTTTTGACATAGTTGATCCTATTGGTTAGTTTTTGAATGTTGAATGAGACTTGAATAAATAAATCCTCTTTATTCTTTCTTGACACTGTATACATTGTATAAATATTTTTTTATAATGTTGAATTAAATTTTCTAATATTTTTTGGGGAATTTTTTATCCATGTTCATAACAGATATTGGTCGATTATTTTCTTTATTATAATGGCTTTATATGGTTTTAGTAATAGAGTAATTCATACCCCATAAAAGACATTAGAAAGTGACCCTCTGCCTTTCTTTTTTCTTTTCCTGGAAAGGATCACATAGGATTTGGCATTATTTCTTCTTAAAACACTCAATAAAATTCACCAGTGAAACTTAAGCCTTGTTGCTTTCTTTGGGGAGATCATTAATATTGATTCAATTAATAGAATTGATATTGGTCTACTCAAACTATTGATTTTGATTGTAAATTTTCAGAGTTGTCTCTTTAAAGGGATTAATAACATCCATCTAAGTTATAGAATTTTGGGAATAGACATTCATAATATTATCTTTCTTTTCTTGTCTATGAGGTCAAGTGATGACTTTTCTTTCTAAGATTGCTACTATGACCTTTTTTTTTCTTCTTGGTCAGCCTAAGTGCTTTCAATTTTTTGATCTTTCCAAAGGAGGCTTTAGTTTTGTCGCTTTTGTTTTCATGCTTTCAATTTATTTGTTTTTGGATCTATTTTTTTATTATATTTTTCTTCTACTTGTTTTATTCTTAAATTCTTCATTCTATAGTCTTTTAAGGTGGAAGCTTAAGTAACTGATTTTAGATCTTTCTTCTTTATATACCTGTTTTCATTGCTATACGTATTTCTCTCTAAGTACTGTATCCCACAGATCTTAATAGGCTGTTTTCTTCATTTTTGTTTAAGTTCAGTATATTTTAACTTCCCCTCCAACTTCCTTTTGACCCATATATAGTTCAGAATTGTATTTACTGGCTATCTTTTCTGTGCCTGATGTCTGGTTTAGTTAATTGTGTTACAATATGAAGTCATACTTTAGATGATGTCCAGCTTTTGTAATTTGTTAGTTTTTTTTTTTTTTTTGAGAGAGCCTAGAATGTGAATGTTACATGTGAGTAGGGAAGGAATGTGTATTCTATTGTTGGGGACATATTCCATCCATGTCAGTTAGATCAGTCTGATTAGTAATATTCTTAAGCTCTAATAGTTCTTAGTGATTTTTTTGCTTTGCTTGATCTATCAGGCTTTAAGCTCTCCCCTTGGCCCTTTCTGGGCAACCTGATATGAAGAAAGCCTGGATGCTCCCTCATTTGTTACTTGTGGGAGATTAAACCACCAAGATCCTGACTGTGTGTAGGACCCCACACCCTCACACACCCCTAAACACAGTGAACACTCTGAGTTGGCCTCCTTTCCTTGCTCTTTCAAGCAAGTTTTGAACTTGTATGGGAGGCTATCCTCAAATAGCTCCACAGGTAAATAATAAATGTTTTCTGACTGATAAGAAGCTATTAGGAATGGTATGTGGCCTGTCTCCACTTCTTGCTGCCAACCTCATGCTTGAGTTTTGCTGCACTGAGCTATACTTGTTAAGTTCCATAGAAATGTTCTTATATACTTCTCTGACCTAAGTTGTAAGTTTCAATATTCGGTGTTGGAAGGACAGTCATACAGATTTGGGGCCTTTCTTCATGGCTTTGGGTTATGCTTCTCAGTCTGGAAATATCAGCCTGTATTTAGAATAAAACTGGTTGACAATAGTTTTGGGGGGAAAGAGTCTCACCTGTGACCAAATTCATAGTGTGTCTCAACCAAATTTTGGTCTCTGTTCTGTAAAGGATTCAAAGGCTTGTACTTTAGGCAAGATATGGGCACATCAGTTGGTCACTCAGACAGCAGTCACTAATGAATTTTTAAAAATAGAAAGAAGATAAATGCAGTCATTGTCTTGAATGCTGAGGTCTGTACATCTAAGAGCACAAGGCTCACCATGACCCATAAGTATACGTCTGCTGCTGCTATCTATGCTTCCGTTACAACGAAGATCTTGATCCTCAGGATTATGGAGAAAAGCACTCATCACCTGTGCAGCACAGTGAAGAGGTTAATTCAAAGCTGACAAAGCTCAGCTTCAATCCTACAAGCATCCGTTGCCCTGGGAAAGGCCACAAACCCTGGAGATGCAAATTTGAGGCTCTCTAGAGAAAGAAGCTCATGTATATGAGCAAGATAGAGAGGAATTTGTCTGAAGCATATCCAGTAACAACAATTTTAAAAAAAGGAAAGATAAAAGAAAAATAGAAAATTGGGTATAGAGAAGGAAACAACAAAAACACACAAAACAGAGGTCCACAATTTGACCCAATCCAAAATTTACTAAAGTAATAGAATAACAAAACATAAAGGGCCACTGGCTGACTTTGTGTCTCAACAGCTTAACTTTTTTTTTTTTTTTAATATGGAAGGCTTCATGAATTTTCTGTCATCTGTGTGCAGGGCTATGCCATTCTTCTCTGAGTCCTTCCAATTTTAATATATGTGCTGCTGAAGCAAGCACTCAACAACTTTGGATCTGAATTAAGTTTAATATCTGCAAAAGGTACCCACTGGCAAATCTTCATTGTTTTAATCTTTATGGTCTGGGCTCAAATTACAGACATACTTGGAGATTCCACATGTTATACAAGGTATTCCCTGTACTCTTAAAAGACTTATACAGTATAAAATAAAGTACAAATAGATATACCTCAGCTTAACCATCAAAGCTATGGTCTTGCCTAAATTATGCATGACCGGAGAATCCATTACACTGAAGTACTTCAGAATGGGCATTACTGTTATCCACTGAGTAGTAAGTTAAAATTAAGTTGGTATTTGAAATTTTCAAGTTGTCTTGATAAAATAGGACCCCAAAGACATCCCCTAGTTAACATATTATGACTCAATGTAAATTAAAACAGGGATTACAAGGATTAAAACCCACTGTTCAGGATTTATTTATTTTTTTTTTTTGGATTTATTTTTTTAAAGCTAATTATCCTTATGGCTTCTTCATTCAGTCCAATTTAGCCTATTCTTAAACATAGAAAGAAAAAAGTAGCTCCCCAAAGTAGATTACTACAACCTTAATGCTATTGCCCCCATTGAAACCTCCATGCACAATATTATTGAAATTATGGACTCTATCTACTCGGCAACTGGTAATCTCTCTAAAAATCTCATATTAGATTTGGCTAATATATTCTGTTCAATGTTCTTTTAACAATCTCACAGCTGAAGTTTTCTTTCAACTCTGAAGAGACACCACATAGCCTCACCTGTCTGACCATGGGGTACTTCCAAGCCTTGACATCACATAGTCTTTGGAGACAACAACTTAACTTCCCTCAACTTTGCCCAGGAGCACAGGCATGACATCACACTCATTATATCCTCTTTCAGGGACATTCATTTAGCACATTCATTCAGGACATATAACCACTCACAGAGGAACTCACAAAAAAACAGGGATCTATATTAGGCCTTATGAACTTAGGTAAATCTCTAAACATTACTTGGTAAATAAAGGATTGCTTCATATTTACCATATTTGAGAAACAGCTGTTGATCTTTCAGTACTCACAACATTAAAAAACGTCCAACTTTTCAGCTATTTTGGCTTCTGAAAACAACACTTCCAAATTTTACTTAAGTCCCTATATGCTTTACTTGCAAATAAGCCCTCCTTTACTGGGGACGCTACAACAAAAAGCCTTAGAATCTGTCTCAATTGCAATAGAATAGTCATTCCCACTAATGCCTCCTCCTCCTCCCTAGCAAGAGGTTCCTTCAATGAGGAGGCTTTAGCAACCTCCCCTCTGGAACACATGGTAGCCATTAGTTAACCATGAGTTGAATGTGAGCTTCTGATGCAAGAACCTGCTTGTGCCAATAGTGGGGAATCGCTAGCAACAAATTGCTTTTCTCAAAACAGAGCCTGTAACCCTCTGTACCCAACTGCCTGTTATGATTTGGTCATTAAAGTAGCATCCTTATAGCTAAGAATAGCCGCCAAAGTCTTTATGAAGGATGGAGCCAAACTTGGGTCTTCTTGGGCCCTTTGCTATTAACCTATCTTCAAGCTAACTGCTTCTTTCCTTGGTCTTGTCCAGTTGAGTGATGGGACCATCAAAGGCATTCTTTATTTCTGTTAGTGGTTTTGATTTCAAGCACTTCCTTTTGATTACTTTTTTGAATTTCCTTGTATTTGTTGTTTTTACCCATTTTTAACTGATGTCTATTTTCCCCTCAGAGTCCTTAAGATATTGTCCTAGTAGTTTAAATCTGCTGCTTGATGATTCCATCACCTATGGCACACCCAACTCTGTTTCTAAATTTGTCTCGTTATACACTGATTTTCTTGCCATATGGCATATTGTTTTGGGTAATCAGAATTGACTTAAATATGTCTTTGGTGCAAGGATTTATAATAATACATCCAGAATTTGGACTGTGTTTAATGTTTGCTGGGGGTATATGTGCCAAAGACTTCAAGTTTTTCTACTTTCCTCATTTGTTTTTCCGTTCTTGATTTTGAGGTCTTTATGTACCTGTTCTCCAAGATAGTCTTCTCTTGAGCTCCTTCAGATACATTCCTGTTGGTGTGGTGGTAAGGTATCAAGGAGGAGAAGTATTCTATAACCTTGTGATCTAATATCAGGCTTATAGTGGACATGTGTCTCTGGACTATGACCTTCACAAATGTTTCTACAATGCTAAAGGGGTGTTTGTTTGTTTCACTTTTTTAGTAGTATAGAATGACTAGAAGAAGCTGAAGTGGGAGGCGGGCCTCTTCCTCAGTTGGGATAAGGTTCTGGTAAAATCTCCACCCACTCCCAGAGTGTTTCTTTTGGTTGCAAAGAATACTCTGGGGTCATTTTTACAATGATTATTCTTCCTTTGCCTTCCCAAACCCACAAGGAGACCTTTCTTGGCTCTTACCGTGAGAGCCTGATATGGCTCCTGGAGCATGTGAGGGTTCCCCTAAGACTACAACCACTGATAGTTTCTCATTCTCAAGCTAGTCTACAATCTACCTCCATACATTAGTCAAAGTTATGATCCTCTCAGTTTATAGTTTTAGTGGCTCTGCTGTCCATGAGTAGACCTCAGATATGATTCTCTAGATCTGCCAGATTTACTCCAGATTTTAGTCAAATTTTACAGTCTCCGTTCTCTGTTGGGTCAGTGAAAAATTATTGGTTTGATGTTGCCCAGCTTTTCCTTATTGTATGTGGGGGTTAGTGACTTCCACACTTTTTATGTGTCAGAACTGAACCTGGAAAGCTGGAATAATTGTTTACTTTCTTCTAATCACTTCTTGTTTCATTCTTGATACATTTTCAACCATTTCCTCACTGAAATGGGTCTCTCTTCTAGAGAGCCTCTTATCTTTTTAAGTCTCTGGCTCAGGTTGTTAGTCAATTATTTCCACAGAACTTTTCCTTCAACAGAATGATGTGATTGAAATCAGGATAGATTCTGTACAAGAGAGAGATAAAGAAAGAAAATTTCTGTCATTGGGGCACCTGAGTGGCTCAGTAGGTTAAGCATCCGACTTCCACTCAGGTCACGATCTCACAGTTCATGAGTTTGAGTCCCGCATTGGGCTCTGTGCTGACAGCTCAGAGCCTGGAACCTGCTTCATTCTGTGTCTTCTCTCTCTCTGCCCCTCCCCTGCCCCGTCTGTCTCTCTCTGTCTCTCAAAAATAAATAAACATTAAAAAAAAGAAAATTTCTGTCATTGTATCAGCTGTTTCAGAAAATATGAAAATAAAAAAGTTTACATTCATATATCTCTGTGATTTGGACTACTATTTGATTTTTGAGGAAGATTTCCCAGTTTCAAATTTCAACTGTACTGTTTTTATTTTTTTACTTATTATAGAATGTGTTTACAATATATTCCCCTAATATGTAAATTAAATGAATAATAGTACCTATTTCACACTCATGTTATAGGAGGTAATGTAGATCAAATGCTTGACACACTATTAGCACATAGTAATCCCTCAAGACATACTATGTATTCCTCACAGTTCTCTTCTCTTTCTCTTCTCTCTCTTTCTTTCCCTCTGATGCATTAAGGCAATATCACCAACATTAACCAGCCATATATCCTTCTACATTTTCTTTCTTGCTAACACAAACATATACAAGTATTTAAAGTCATACTTGTGGGAGTTTAACTAACTATTCTATTGTGACTTGTTATCATAAATCTGGTGAATTGATTCATCCAAATGACTCTTTTAGCAAAGGAATATCCATTATTATTATTTAGTGTAGTGTAGGCCTAGGGAAGAGGTATGTGTGCCCAACACTTCAGGAAAATAGTGAGATGTGCAAGCAAAATCTTTCCACGTTTTATATAATGCTTTATAGAGTATGAACACTCACACCTATATTAATGTATTCAATTATTATATGGCCATGAATAAAAAATAGTATATTCATTTTATAGATGTGATTGAGGACGTCAAGTGGTCAATCTACTCTTCAAAACTACAGAAAATCCCCATATCTAAGGAATGTTTTACTAGATCTTATGGGAGGAAATCACAGAGAACGATATTAAGTGTGAGCCTTTACTCAGACTTCTGCAGCACAAAAACACTGACAAAGAAAGCCTACAGATTGCATTTTAGGAAGAATGGTCATTTGAAATTTATATACTATTGGGAATAGTTTACCAGAAATAATTCTTTGGAGACACTTTAGTGGCTCAGTGGGTTAAGCCTCTGACTTGGCTAAGGTCATGTTGGTTCGTGGGTTTGAACCTTGCCTCAAGTTCCATGCTGACAGCTGGGAGCCTGGAGCCTACTTCAGGTTCTCTCTCCCTCTCTCTCTCTCTCTGCCCCTCTCCCATTTGTGCATGCATGCACGCCTTCTCTCTCAAAAATAAATAAACATTAAAAAAATAGTTCTTGGAAGAGGGGGACATTGTCTTGTGTTTTACCAGCCATGTCTTGGGCAGCTTGGTTGAGCAAGAACGATTCAAAGGGACAGTTAGGAGTTAAAATATATGAAAGTTACAGTAGAAAATTTTCACTTCTTAAGTGTTCCTCAGAGTCCATCAACTTGGTCAACAGGGAGGTTGACTCTTATAGTTTGATCACATCTGTATTTTCAGAACTCCAGATCTATCCAACTCATGTAGAATATAGTCTCAGATAATTAGTGATTGTGACATTAGGGCTGTTGCAACTTTTTTTCTTTTTGGTGAATATCAATAATTTCTTGAGTAAATGGCTGCATTGAAACCTCTAAAGATTCTAAATAAACCCACAATATATATCAGTTGCAAGTATTAAAATAAGATTCATCAGAAGAGCTTTGATTTTTTTTTTTAACCAAGATCTTGCTCATCTGAGATTAGAGGAGATTCCATCCCAAACTCAAGTCTGGAGAAATATATATATTTCTCCTGAGAGTCTCATAATCTTCTTTTACTTTCTTGGTTGTGTTAAAAAATAAGGTGATAGGGGAGTGACACATGGGTGGCTCTGACTACCTTGG